TTAATCATTTCAAGTGTAGGTTGAATTTGTTTCTTGACTTTTTCAAAAATTGAGCGTCCCGATAATTCGTTTTTCATTATTCGTGTTCCTCTAAAAATCTGAGCAAATTTCAATCCACTAATTAAAATGGTATTTGATTGTTTAATTAAGTAAAATGGTGTGTCGTTCATATCCCGTGAAAGGAGATGGGGAAGTGTAAAGAGGTGTAGATGAGAATAGAATAGAGTGTCCTATGCAAGTGTATTTTCCTCCTTTGCAGTTCAAGGCCTTGGTGTTTGTGATCCTGGTCATCGGTGATGAGCATAAATGATGATCAGAGCATTGCATCAGAGCACTGCCGTTGGAGACAAATGTCTTGACAAATATGTGTCCGATTGCATTTTAATCCAATAAACTCTCTTTTGAATTTTGGGATGTGACGTGTTTTTAAATATCCACTAATTGGGTATTTCGCTCCCCATAATTTAAATGTCATTGGCAGACACATTGACTTGAGTAAATCATAACCGATTTGGCTCACCTATCCACGTTGAAAAGTAGTACGAATTGAGGCAAATGGTGTAATTCCCTCCATCTTCCCTTTAGAATATTGAAAAACTAGAAGAAATTGATATGATAATTGGGTGTGGCTCCGTGCCACTGTCATCTCTCTTCCCAGACCAAGGTGCTCAAATGAAGAGGTAGTTTATCAATAAGCATTATTTATTATTCCACTGAGTGGCATTTGAAATATCAATTAACATGCCTTTTTCGCCTTGAAAGTCATGCTGGAAGAGGCGCATTGACTACACAAATCTCCAAAGTGAAGTTCTTTGTGGGTGGACTTCGAAGAACTCACACTGAGGAGCACTTAAGGAGGTATTTTGAGAGCAAATACGGCCCTTTAGTGGACTGCCACGTGTCAAAAGACTTTAAGACTAAGGAGTCGCGAGGCTACGCTTTTGTGACCTTCAAAGAGGCCATTCATGCCTCTCGAGCAATGTCGGACTTTCCACATTTCATCGAAGGTGTGCCAATTCAACTTAGACCATATAATTTGGCGAATGCCGATCAGAGTAGAAACCCACTTGGGTAAGTTCGTGTTTATCTGAAAAAGAGTAATTCGACTAATATTCAAGAGTTCAGCCTTTTTTCCCTAAATTATAGTGTTGCCTCATCACGCGAGACAGCTAAAAAGCCCCCCAAAAACCGTGTTGTGGTTGTTGGAATTTCCGATACCACAACAAAAGATGCAATTAAAGCCGCCCTCTCAAAGATCGGTGGAGTTTTAAGTGTGGACATGGAGTCAAAGAGGGGATTTGGAATTGTGAATTTTGAGAAGTCCGAATCAGTCGATCAGGCAGTTGTTATGAGTCAGGTTAAGATAGATGGTAAGGATTGCGATATATATCATTACAATATTGGGAAGAAAGTGATAAGGTGAGTCTTCCTTGTTTCTTCATTGAATCGCTTATTGAAATTCACTAATTTTTGTTTATTTGTGTTGACAGAGAGAGGGAGGGAGAAGGGGAGAAGAATGGTTCGTGTGAACATGTTGACAAATTGAGATTATTTATTGGTAACTTGAATCCTTCAGTTAGCAGGGAGATGCTAAAGGAGCACTTTTCCAGATTTGGAACTGTGACGAAAGTGGACATAATTTGTAATCGCCAGAGTTCAAGACCACGTGGAATGGCATTTGTTAGCATGTCCTCTGAAGAGGAGGTGGAGGGAGTTTTGAAAGGATGTCCACATTCACTTAGCGGTAAGGAGCTTATCGTTCGAAGGGCGTACAAGAAGAATTCGGAGTAAGTGCTTGAGATGTGTTTGCGAGTTACTATTTTATTCTTCATTAGCTGGTGATTTGAAGGTTCTTTTAGAACGTCAGGTTTTTTGATATTTATCATTAGCCCCTTAGTTGATTTCAGCTTTCCCCATGGGTTGGGTACATATATAGCAGTTAACTAGTAGCAGTCTATCGCGCACCCCGAGATTTGAAAGTCGTCTATTCCCAATAGGTAAGAACATAAATATTTGTAAAAAATTGAGGAAAACGACTATACGGTGGGAGTGTAGGAAATGAAAAGAACTTTCATGGATCCACATATCTGGAATGCAAAAAAATTGAAACGGATATTTTGAAATTTTGACTTTGCTGTTTTATCGTTTTCAGCGTGCGAAGCCCTCTGCCTCGTCCCAGTACTTCGAAATCTGACACACCTTGTGCTGAAATACAAGAAGGCTCCAAAGTAATAGGATATCCTTCTGTGTTGAAGTATGTTTGGTAAAGATTGCAACAATATGATCTATCCTGTTTCCTTTATTGACTCATTGCAAAACCTTTCAAATCAGTTTATTTTTTTACTCGAAGAGATTTGAGGTCTCTTTGATTGAAGCGGCTAGATCTGGTTTTATACAGAGACACCGAACGTGATCTTTCCTTTTTGCTACTTCCTACTGAGTTGCTTGTTTAATTTCGCTTCACGTGATCACATTTCGCCATGGAAATTAGAATTTTCACATAGACTAAATTTACACTATGTTGAATATTTGAATACTTCAGTTGCTCCTGGAGCAAAGCCGATCCCTCGTAATCAAAGGAGTTGGATTAAGTGACCATTCGACATGCGTTTTCCCTATTTATAGTCCATACTAGTGGGGAGGTGGGGGGGGGGGGGGGGGGGGGGGGGGGGGGTTGGAGAGAGATAGAATAACGAAGGGTTCACAGTGTCCAGATTCTATACGCCTGGGAATGAGTGTATCTTAGGCTTCTTTGAGGGAATGCAAGGATCAAGTGGGATGTTTTTGAAATTTAAACTTTACTGATTTACTTTGTTTTCAGATTGCAGCGTGTTATTGTAGTGAGGCGCCCTCTGCCTCGTCGCAAAACTTGGAAATCGAAACCACTTCCTGCTGTTAAAAAAGTGGGCTCTAAGGTTACAAAACCGTCTTCTTCGTCAAAGTATGTTTGGCTAAGATTTTAATAATGCGATTTACTTTGTCGACTCACTTCCAAATCTTCCACTTTCTTTACTCGAGGAGAGTTCAGCTCTCTTGTTGAACTTGAACTATTTGCTCTCGCGTTTATAGCCAAACATGCCGATTACTTTTCTTCAATTTATTTTTCCCTATTAAGGAAATTGGAACACTTTTGTTGCCCCCTGGAGCGTAGCTGGCCACCTGAAATCAATAGTTTTGGAATACCGGACCAATAATAGTGCACACTAGGCCAAAGTAGTTAATAGTCGAAAGAGTGTTATTGTCCGTGTGGCTATTGAGGCACAGTGTAAAGCACTGGTGAGACGAGAGGGGTTATGTCACTACATGAGAAATGACAATGTCAGGTAGGGAGGCAGATTGCACACTTCTTATCGGTAGTGTCGATGGGCGACTGAAATGGTTCAACGCTGGAAGGTGAAGTACAATGACATGACAATTAATGGATTGAAGAATGTTGGAGGAGGTGTGGAAAGCGAACGTTTGTAGACGTTTATCGGAGTCTTCACAGGTGTTTTGGCAGTGAGCATGATGTATGCTTTTGCACAAGTCACTGAACTAAGTAGAAATAATGGCAAATTCTTGGGTGACAACCTTCCACATTTTGTCCGCCAATAGTAACTTAAGTAAGTGTCTCCAGCTCATCGCATTTCCATGCAAAACTGCACATGGAAATCGTCTGTGCGGGTGAGATTAAACGAGGCGCGTTCACAGCGTCTAGAGTCCACATATTTGCGAATGAGAATATCCGAGGGATCTTAGCTTATTTATTGTTTTCAGAGTGCATCATGCTACTTCAGTGAGACGTCCTCAACCCCGTCCCAAACCATCGAAATCAAAACCACCACGCTCTGTAAAAAAAGTGGGCTCTAAAGCCAAAAAACGGCCGTGATCTTTCGTTTTGGGAGCCTTCCTGACGACATGCTTGTGTAATTTCTTTCCACTTGGTCAAATTTTGTCTTGGATTATTAAAATAAAGAACGTAAAAGAAGCTTTTGCTATGCTGAATAGTACTTCTATGATTTGAATTTTGAAACTTTGGGGCCCCCTGAAGCGAAGCTGGCCACCTAAAATCAATAGTTTTGAAATACGCGACTATTTTACTCTGTTATGATTCAGTGAATTTTGATTTCTATCTACTGGATACCTTTCGATTCACAGTTAATTTGGATTCGAAGAGAAACAGAACTGAGTTGAAGTTGCTCCAATTCATTTTGTTAACTTTTCTAAAATATTAGTGTCACAAGTCTTCATCTTGTTGAATTCGGAGACCTCAACGATGACAGTGCTGTCCCACGGTTTGCTGGGAGGAGTACTCAAGTTGGGATCATCCTTAAATACCACAACTGAGTTGCACATAAAATAGTTAAGTTAAGCAAAGCAAGAGTCCTTTAGCCTAGAAGTACATTGAGTTTAAAGGTCAGCTACTAATGCGTCATTAGCAAGCCAATTTTTCGAACCTCGATCGAAGGACATCAATGACAAAAACGTGCAGCCAATGAATTTCGCTCAATTACCTAGGTAATAGGGAAATCCGTATCCCAACGACTTTGATCTGGCTTTGCCGTAGGTACTTCAAGATACAAAGGGTTTGGGTTGGGTTTCTGTTTCTATATAATTGATTTAACGTGAAACTCAATAATTAGGGTATTCCGGAAGTCCAATATGCGCAAAGAAATACAAAAATGAAAAATAATTGCAAGAAGAATGAGGAAGAAGAGCGAATGGAAAATTTTATTAACAGGGGGTTATGCTCGTGAATGTACAGTACCTTTAGTCAGTCATTTGCCTTTTATACCAAAATCTTGCACGATTATCATCACTGCAGGAGAGAAATGCAGCCGTTGTCGGGGAATGAACGAAACACCTGATTGGTCCATTGTGATCTTAATTGAAGGAGGAGTAGTGAGAGGATAAGAGTTAGGAAAAAAGTACATCATCTGAATGCAATTTCAAATTATATGCACTACTTACTAAGTGGAAGTAAACGTTGGCGATCAGCATTGCGCGAATCCCAACAACACAGGCTCTTGGTTGCTTCGTCAGGAAAGAGAACTATAAGTAGAAAGATGTTTTAAGTCGGAAGATCAACACTACTACCAAACAAGTCTGTCCTTCCGATGAATATGGCCTCCAACACACAATTAACAAAAAAGGCACACGCGATCGAAATATATTCCGAGTTAAAAAGAAACGCACCATAATCTTCAGTATGATTGAACACAGCATTGGAACGATGTAAATGAAGACCGATAGATCCTGCGCCAGTATAGCTGATGAGGCAACGGCTAGTTGAGAGTTCCCACAGTTTGACCACACTGTCCTTTCCCGAAGTCAAGACATACTGTAAAAAAAAGAGAGCAAACAGGGAGGAAAGTTAGGGAAAGAAGTAGGAATCGTCTGTTTATTCCGACTTGTTTTGAAGGCGTGAAACATGGCTCTGAGTCGAAATCTGCCACACAGCCTAGGAGCACCATTTACCTTGCTAAATTTTATAATAAAAGAGTATGAATGGAATGATAGTGGCGCAGTGGTTACCACGTAAGTTGGTCAGATTAGAGGTGGTGGATTCGAAACTTACTGGTACAAATGCAATGAAAATAATAACAATCTAGCCAATCGAGGGAATACGGAATTGCCATTGTTGGAGAGACTCCACCATGTAATGCTTCAACGTGGAAGAGAATTAACGTGATTACTTACCAAAATTAAGCACGATCATTTTGCTCAAAGGTTACATTTTACCAAGACGTATTGCCCTTGAGGTCTACTTGACATTAAGACGTAGTTTCTACTATGTTATAATGCATATCAGTATGTGAATGGGTTAAACAATTTGTCCAATCTCAGGTACAATTTTAACTGATTCCTATAAATATACCCATAAGTGGCTTGCCTAATTTCTTCGACAATACACTAAAACGCACCCCCTCCCATCTCCATTCTAACCCTTGTTTTAATGCGAAGGTGTTGACTCACCTTAGAATTTCGAGAAAAAACAGCCGAACAGACAGGCACACCATCGTGAGCATTTTGGAAGGTGTTGACACATCGACCAGAGATTCCGTCCCAAATCTTAAAGGAGCCGTCATTAGATGAGGAGACAAAGTAATTTGCATTGGGTGCCCATCTCACCATGGTAACGGGGGCATTGTGTTGATCTTCAGGAACTGCAGACACGAAGCACTGGCCAGTTACTACACTGTAGATCCGCACTATAAGAAGAAAGGAAAGTGAGGGACTTTGTTCCTGGATTGGGTAAGAGAGTAATGACACTCTATTCTTGCACAAAGACCAATAAAGCTACAACAAAAAGGAATTATAATCACAATTTTTGGCTAACCAAGTAGCCAACTTTATGTAGGCATACGTATTTTAATGGTAGAATAATTAGCTCTCCTATTCACTTCATAAGGTGCCAATATTAAGCCATCTACGACGCCGGTGTCATGCTTGTAAAGAACAATTTACTTGCAGTTAAGCTCTTATTTACCTCTCTGTAATACATGTCCAATTGATGATGTTTTCAACTGAAGATTGACTGGTGAAAAGTATCCGTCACAGCGCCTAATCTCCCAATATCTAGCATTAATAATTTGGTGTGGGGTGCTCGAAAGACCTACCTCCACGTGGTGCACCCTGGACAACGTATCTTCATACGGCAAAAAAGTCTATCAACCGGCAGCTGACTTCTGACTTCAAACTACCACCACCCCACTGTATGTCATATTCGACCCCTACCACAGTACTCATCTTACCCTTTCTGAGCCTTGGTGTCTGTCTGTTTCTTTTACATCTGTGAATCACTTTTCTGCTCCCCCTCTCGAATTCTTCTCATTTCGATGTTCCTCCTCCCCTCTGTGAAGCCCGAAGTCATACGGCAAAAAAAGTCTATCACTCGGTATTTTGATTTCTATTTATTATGATTAGCTTGAAACAAAGCTATAAGAGAAATCGCCCTCGTCAGGGCGAATCACGTCTACAGATCCTTCAGTGGAATGCTGGTGTCTGGCAAAACACTTTCACAGATTGGGAGTATACACTCAACCCACATGCCCTTTACGTAACCTACATGAAGAAATGGAGAAGACCCACCTGATTCGATGTCCAGCCCTAGAGACAACGATGGAAAGCCAGAGATACTGGGAAGCAAGAAGACAGCTAATGAACTGCTATTAATTAACTGTTATATATGCACCCCCCACCCATGGGGGAAGCTGAAGTCAAATTTTAAGGGCTAATGATAAATATCATAAAGCCTGCCATTTGAAAAAAATAATAATTTGGTGTTTACTTACAGTTAACTCCAATCATCATGAATGAACTATAAATCTACAAGTCGTAATCACGAAAGGGATAAAATCGAGGATGAAGTCAAAATTAGGCGGGCGTGAAGTGGGGACACCATGGGCTTTATTTTCCACGAATTCGGGAGCATGAAGAGTTGAAAAAATTATCTCCACAAAAGAAACCCCATATCAAGACGTTTCCACTACATGGGCCAAATATTTTGCATTAAATCCATAAGGTCCGACTGTGGTGCCTTTCGAGGTATTGGGAGAGCAGTAGGAATATCTTCCCCACGACATCAAGTCCACGTGGCTTAAACAAACATGTTGGACGGAATACTAAGACATGTTTTGGTAAAAATGTAATTACCGAGATCTCTTGGAGCTTTTGTGCGAAATTTTCAAAGTGAACACAACATAATTGGCGAACCGTATAATAGTAACGAAAATCAGAGATCAAAATTGTATGTAAATGATTTCGTACACAAAAACACATCTGTAACGCGCAAATGCACTGAATTTAAAGAAATACTATTTCCATAGGCGTAAAATTTTGTAATATCTAGGAAAGACAGTAAATCGATGGATATCATCTTCCACCCGAAGACAAATGAAATAAGACCACATTTTTATCAGATAAATTAAAAGTCACGCCAACAACATACGAGTTTTCTGATGTGTTCCAACCGTGAGATAATCACCAGAGGGATGGAAGTGGAGAGTTTTAATGGGCGAAGCTTCAGGAAGGCTGCGTTGAGCCTTTTTCACTGATGGATTTGAAAAGTCGAAAAACTTGATAGTGAAATCCTTGCTACCGCTCGCAAGAATCTGTTTAGAGGCGTCTGGATGGAAGTCCACACAGGTCACTTCCTATGAAACAGGAGATGAAATTCTGATTAGAGGTGAGCGTTTAAGAAATAAATCAAGTTGAAGAGTAATTAACCCACGAATCTCAAACTCAAAATTACAAAAGGACCCTGAAGAAACGAAAAGTCAACACAATCCAAATGAATTCGTATTCAACCTTGTAAATAAATTTAGAAACCCTTAGGTGCAGCAAATAAATGACGCTCAAAGACTTCAAAAAGATATAGCAGATCTCCCCAAATAGAAAGCATATAAAAGCATTTCGATTGGGACAAGGTAATCCATGCTTACTTAGACATTCATGAGTAAGTCAGATAAGACGATGGCAAACGGTTTGAAAGTCTTACAGTGGACCGACAAACCAATGGACCAGAATTTAAATATGAGTGATCAATATGATAAAAATGGTCTATGAATATGGGAAAGGAATCAAATATAAGAAGTAATTGAGCCTCTAGATAAAGCCTTCTATCCAGCAGAAACTACTTTCCTTCAAATTAGGCACACTAAGACAGCAATAATAAAAATTCAGCAACTGAATTGATGAAAAATTTTACCGCAGTGTGATCATACAGAGTCCGAATGACTGGATGGGATTCCATTTGCTGTTGAGGCGTTTCCTGAGTAGCATGCTCCGGACCAGTGACACCTTTAGCCAGCATTCTCTCCACGTCTAGAATCTATAATTTAAAAAGTATTAAAATTTAAAAATATCAAAAACTTGCTTTTATTGAGGAGTCATGGGAGCCAGTAGCAATCAACTGACCTATTCAATAAACAGAGGCAAAATAAGCATTCGATATTTTGTAATTGAATGATTGAGTAAAGATAAGCTTACCAGTGCTGTTAAATGCTGCAGTCCGGCAGGCTGCCTTGTGGGCAGTAACATAGCATGTTTCGTAAAGAGCGGCTTCTGGAGCCATGGTGGAACCTTAGTACAAATTTTGTGAAAGTATTATAAAAGGCTTAAGGGAGAGAATTGATAGTGACACTGACTCACTTTCACTCTCAATTTCTAAGTCGATGCCAGTTCCAGGGGCGATATTATCACCCTCAAGAACGAAGGGCTTTTCTTGTTCATCTAAAATGTAAAAATAAAATATAAAAGGAGGTATTTAAAGCAGTATGGAAAATGGAATATGAACGCACCATCTGCGATCGAAAGTCCAAGCTTGGTTAATTTAAGGAGTCTGGAAGAAGGACCACATGAACTCGATGGATTGACTTCATTCATCAAGGCTATGGCAATTCCCTGATAGCCATCATGAAATAGTTGGCTAAAGTAAATGTTAGAAAAATAACTCAGGCAAAACCTTATAATAAGACGATAAAGTAGATCGCGATCCCTCAAAGACATCGAAAAGTTAGTAGAAAAGGAGGCTAATTTGAAATGAAAATTTGACCAATCAAGAAAGCCTCATATTAAACATAATCATTTTCGTTTAATATTTCAAATTTATTCAAGCTCTACACTTTTAAAAACGGTTAAAAGTAATAAATTACCAAAGATAGTGCTATGTTTGGGCTAGATCACGCTTTTAAATATTTTTGTTTATATCATTATATCACATTTTGGCTTTTACAATATTTGACCTTGCCTTCACACTTCGATCTTGTCGGCCTTATTGCTATATTCTATCGTATCGAATGCCTCAACAATGTCGTTTGATGACGATGAATTGGTTCCGGAAATTTTAAATTTTTTCGACGAATTTTGTTCTCGTATTGATGATAGGCAGATAGAAAGTATTTTTATTTTTTGTATATTACCATTTTAGTCAATGGCCACAGTTCGTCTAGTAACCCAAGTACCAGTGCTCGTCGAACAAGATCTAATAGTTCTCAATCAGGAGCTCCATCGCAAAGACTTCGTGTTTCGGCTTTAAAATTAACCAGAAGGTCATCTTTAGGTAGACTCTGTGGAGATATTTCTTCTTCCCAGCTTTCTGTTATGTCAGTAACCGTCATATGTCTTTATTTTTCTGGCAATTTTATTAATCAGTTATTGTTCAAAATTTAATACAGAACCAAAGCTCCTGTTGTCTCAAATGAAAATGTGGATTGGAAAAAGAAGGTTTGTTCATTTTATCTTAAATATTATTTTAATCCCCTTTCTTCGTGTGTTCACTGGAGTATCTTTGCTTTAGTTTGAAGAGTTGCAAAGGCAATATGATATGAAATGTGGTGAACTAACTAATACCGCTGAATCTGCTAATCAGAGATATAATTCTCTCTTGTCTACCATTCGTAATTTGGAAGCCACATTAAATAATGAACGTCTGGAGAGTATCAAAAGTATAAATGCTCTCCAAAGTCAGTTGTCTTTCAAGGAGGCCGATTATCGATTAATTACTACCGAATTACAAAACTGCAAGAATTTGCTAATTCCTTCACAATCCGCATTAATCACTAAGGAGACATTTCCCCTTATCTCTCAAGGTAATTTTTGTTACCCAGTTTGTTGTTTTTATATAAATAGCATTTTATCTAAAACGGCTTATTTATAGATCTGCCGTATTATTTACCATTTTAAAATTCCGTTTCATTGTATCTAATATTTTTCCCTCTCGATGTTTTAAATTTTCATGTCTTTACAGCTAAGACATCGATCCCTTCCCCTTCGTTTTCTTTATTATTTTGCGAATTCCATCCAGTAATGATAACAAACAGCATATTTTCTAGCCCTTTTTAGTCTGCTTTCTAACATATCTCGTTCGTCGCTTTTGAATATCGATACTCCCCTTATCGTGGCTACTAGTTCCATTTTCTGCAATCCTATCTCTTATTTACATCCGAGTAAGCTTTATTCAGAAGGTAGTCATATATTTCCTTATTTCGACGCAACAATCTTCGTTATCGAAAGATATTTGTTTCCAAAATATTGGAGTTTTTCCAATGTAAGACGTCAGGGTTTTCTAAACATCACTTCACATTGATAAGATTTTCGGAGGGTGAAATTAAAAGATAGAGGATGTTTGAACTGCATTAAAATTTTACGGAAATTTTATTCGTTTAATTATTTTCTCTTGAAACCCTTGTAATCAGTTTTTTCTTTTTCTTTTGCTATTTTATACCAAATAGTTCCAAATAGTGCAATCGCATCACCAGGCTCCTACCTTCTTACTCAGGAAGCCGAACGCGTGGAAGCCAATTATTCAATCCGTGCTGGACCCCTTCCTAGATCAGTATCTCCCGTTGCCACACGAGGTCCCATGCCTAAACGACCTCGTCTCTGTTGTGATGACCGTCAAGCTTCTACCTCTACCTCCTCCGGAGTATTGATCACTCCGCCAAGTCACAGCTACTCCCGACCCTCTATTCCCCTTCCAGATCTTTCAGAAAGTGCTAATCCACCAACACCTACAAAATCTCGAGCTCAGGATCTCTCAGAATCGGATAATTCGTTTTTGGTTGATGCTTCACCTCCATTCCGATCCCCTGGTCTTCAAATAATTGAGAAATCTCCTTTTTCGGGACGGAAAATGGAGGAGAATGATCAGTATCCTGCAGCTTCATCATCAACCCTTACCCCTAATCGATCTACCACGCCTGAATCTGAGGCTCTCGATTCGGTTGATAGTTTGGACTTTCGAATTCAAGTAAGACGACCAAATAAGGGAAAGCAATTGGAGGTTTCTCGAACTGTTGTTGGTCAGTTGACGAGTCTTTTGGCTAATAGTCGAAATCTTCCTCGCGATCCTGAAATACCGGGGTTCGTTTATTCTATATCTCTTTTACTCATGCAATTAAAACAGTATATCATTTATGCTAATAGTTTTTCTGTCTTGAAAAAGGGAATACAAATGTATGTCCCACTGTTTATCTAATCTTGCCTCTCTAATTGTCGTTTCTCAGATTGTATAACTGCTCTTATTGCAGTTTAGGTTAATTAATCTGGCTACTGCTGATTTGATAAGTAGGTTGTAGATTTTTACAATGGTTCTTACGACATTGACATTTGGAGAAAAATGTCCATCGTTTTAGAAGTTGAGCAGAACCTTCAAATCACCGTTGTCATGCGTTGAACTATATTTTGCCTACATTTCAATTTAATGGAGACCTGTCAAATGTCATGGAAGGTCGTGAAGTAGGCAGTATTCCTGACTACCTTCATTTAAGTCCTTTTTCCAATACTTTTATTCCTTGGACTTTTCGTTAGCCTCAATGGCAGCTTTAAAAAATTAAACATTGTTTGTATTGATTAGTGAGAGATCAGTTGAGAAGTTTGGGTCTTTTTTGTCACATTTGTTAAGCCTCTTCTTACATTCCTAGCCAAAGCTGCAATAGTTGCAACCAAATTTACATTTTATCACGATTTTTTGTCATTCTTAATTACCAGTTTATTGTTCAGACAGAAATGAGACAAAGTTAGATGTAGAATAGAGCGGAGGTAACAACCTTGTGAAAATTAAGCTAAGTGAAGGAATAAAACTCACAACCCAAATGCCAGATGATAGACAATCGACAAGGCTGGATAGTTGCATCATGCACTCAAATGGGTGGAGTGATAGTCTGGATAAAAGTCGATCATCTGGTCGCAATACCAGACCCACGGCGTTCATAGGAAGTTCTGTTCGTGAGAATTGACCTTCCACTTCAGCTTCAGTGACTAGAATTCAAAGAGCCTTTTATAGATAACCGTTGATTTATCTTGCATTTCGATACACTTTACCAATATCTCTTAGGTATTAAATTAAGTTTAATTTTGGTTCGTTTAGCATATTATTTTTCTATGAAAATCCGACGACTTCGTCGAAAATTTTGTTTAGCTTCTCCGGTTATAGTGCTTTGTCTCAATTTACGAAGTTCACTTTGAACTCTCTTTATTTAGGAGTTACTATTTTGCGAATTGTTCACGATTCGGGAACGTGTCTATAAAGCAGGTTTTCACATAAATAAACATTTTTGTGCCTAGTTTCACTCAGATCAAAGCTCTCTAGCCACTACAAGAATCACTGACGTGGTTAGTACTTCAAGAGTTGCACGGTGTTTGACTTCCGTGGTCACTGAGTTGTCTACTTGCCGATCTCTTAATTTAATTGCCTTCTTAGTCGTGTTCCATCTATTCAGTTTAATCTTCTTCCAACCTTGAGTACTTTGTTAGAATTGGCAAAGATTTCGATCATAGCAAAGTTCCTTTATTAATTTGAGAAGTACTAAAGTAAGTGCTAGAAATAAGCGCATCACCTAAAGGAGTCAGGCTTCTCTTATGAATAGGCTTTTATTGCAAATGAACAGGGTTACGGGATTGAACCCTTGGCCACTGTAGCTTCTGTTAGATCTATTGGAAGACATAAATGCACCTCCTTTTTCATTAATTCTAATTTCGAGTTTCCGACCTTATAAACTCTTAGCACTTGAACTGAATTGTTTATCATTCGACTTTAAATTTATTTATTTATATAAAATGGCAGGCGTCTTGGAGGTTATCATTAGCCCTTTAGTTGACTTCAGGCTTCACAGAGGGGAAGAAACATCGAATTGAAAAAGTCGACAGGGGGGGGGGGGGAACAGAAGTGTTTCAAAGATGTAAGAGACAAACACAAAGGTAGAACAAAGGTAAGGCGAGTACTGTGGAAATATTCGAATATGGCATAGAGTGTGGTGATGGTAGTTTGAAGTCAATAGACTTTTTTGCCGTATGAATATACGTGGCCCAGGGTGCACCACGTGGAGGTAAGTCTATCGCACACCCCACTTTAAATTTATCAAACTTTTATTTCTTAATGGCATCTCTTTTACGACTGCGCACAATTAAAAGAACAAGGACTCCTTAGCCCATTTGTACTTTAAGAGCCAATTTGTAAAAAAGTACAACTTATCAAACTATGAATTCGCCTTTTTATTATTTGAGAACAGCATGCGGAACTTAATTTCCACTTTCAATTTCATTTGTTTACTTGAAAGTCGGTTCGAAATCATAAATTACCTTAATGACTGCCTATGAGACTCTAACAAACCTGGTTTTTTTTACCGATAAATGTCACACCATTAGCGATCATGAGGCTTTCGTGTGCATGTAAGGTTTTGCAGCATGGTAGTAACTCTGCTGAAGGGCAGTGACCAATCGGCTTTAACGCTGTGTGCTGTCTATAGACGCCGATAGCATATGCCCTGGGTCACGCCTTTCGCACACAACTGAATGGAAACTGCATTAATGATTGCCAAATTATCAAAGTTGATTGAAATGTGTCTAGATATGCCACGTAGGTTACAGCTAATTGGCACCAAGATAACATTTTCAGTCGCTTGGAGGCAGTAGTTTGGTTACGTCGTTTGTTCTAATATGGACGAAACAAAAATTCCCCAGATTCACCTCAGCTAAAGAGTTAGAGAAGGTATTAGATGGGGAAAACACTTCTTCGAGAAGTGGCCTAGCTTCAGTATTTTAAACGGCTAGAATGCCGCGTGCTTCTCGTTAGATGAATGGAAATTAATCTGATTTACAAAGTCGGAAAACGGTCATATTTAAAGACTAAACGAATTCGAAAGCATTATTTACCATAAGAAAGTACGTTAAGGAAGGCTACTATGTCGTTAAAATGTTTGGACTTAATCGATAAAACATCGAGTTTATAAAATTTTCAGAAAGCCTAAGGTGTTTAACTCACTAAAAGATTCCTTCCCGGGTGTGAATGATGAGTACACCGGGGTAAAAAATCCTCTTCCCAACTTCCATACACAGCATTCCCTCAGTTTTTTGTCTTTAAATTGGTAAAAATCAGAGAGAGTGTCAAGACGTCTTCTGGGTAGGCGACGCCGCTGAAAAAAGAGAGTTACCGCCACATCCCCATACTCTCGGACCAATCAGCGGAGTGCTTACAAACAACCGTCTGTAAATTTCGTGATTGGTTAGAGCCCTATTTGGGCTAACCAATTAATTGCGACAGCTAGATTCTATAAATGATGCACGTGTTGACGTGTGAGATCCACTTTGCCGCTGAAAGTGGTACATCTTTCTTTTAGGCAGGACATTAGTCTAGCGTCTGAGGCTGAACAGGCTTCAACAGAATTTGATTTCTTCAAGGGATTAAGCCAACTCACTTTGAATTCAAAGGACAGTAGTAAAGATGATTGTTGGCCTTCCTTCAATAGGTGTGTTCAACTTACTTTACCACAAATACGTCTTCGCTTTCGGGTTGGTTCTTGTTACTTGGTTTTATGCCTTTAATTCATGTAATTTAGGAATATGTTAACTTCTTTCGACTCTTCCGGGAAAAGGTTTTCGACCACAGGTTTACAGAGCACTGGAAATTTGATGAGATATCTCGTGAGGAATGTCCAGTATCTATGGATTCAGAGTCTTTCAGTTTAGAAAATTTTGCCGAAAACCCTTTTGCTGGCGCACCTGCATCTCAATTGGTCTCTATTCCATCACGTAAACTGGCCTGTTTACTTTATCCACAAATTTTTAGTTTCTTGTTCTAAAAGCGCTTCCACGATCCGCTCCTCAGTTGTTGAGGTTAATGAACCATCTACATGGCTGGAATCATCTGCTAAGCAGGCAAATGAGGGTATTCTGGCGTGTCTACGCCAAACAAAAGTTCTATTCCATACTGATTGCAAGTTAGATCACGCTTCTATTGATGGGATCGGCGCCTTCATTCTAGAAATTATTGATTCCTTATCAACAATGCTTACAATTACGCCTTTGGATGGTGAATTTGTGCTCAATTCTCTTCCACTTTTGTGGATGTCGAGATTGACACGTGTTATCTATGAATGCTTTGATTTTGCTTCACAGTTCGCTCTTGAACTTTGCAAACTGTCGAAAGATTCTTCTCAAGGGAAATCACCTTGGTTGCCTTCAATTCTTGACGTCTTTATCCTCATGGTCAGTTCAATGTGTTCCAAGACTACACTCGAGGATCCACCAGTTTTACTCCCAGCTCTTCGTTTGCTAGCTCTTCTTCTTGAGTCAGGTAACTTGGAGTCACCTCCTGACCCAGATGTTCAACCTGCGTCGGCGCCGAACCCTAGTGTTTACTGGTTCTCATCTGATAAGGATCCTGGACGAGGCTTTGAGCTCCTTTCCAAGTTGGTTGAGCTTGAAAAGAGCTACGCTGAGCGAGATCAAACCTATGTTCCCTATTTTGCCTCCAGATTCCTATCCAAAAGTAAGTCGGTTCTTATTCCATCCTGTCATTGTCATTTTCTTTTCTAGAAATTTCCTCCTCAACGCATTTAAGATGTCCTCTTCTTTTACTCTGTCGTCTGCTTTTTATTGAGCAGCACATGCTTGACAGTGAAGATACATTTCAACACTGTAGGCTCCTTACAGAGGTATGTGAATTTCCACCCTTTCTAGTTAATTATGTAGTTTTCCAAGTTTACAGTCGCACTGACTAAAACCAAGGACTGGGCTCAATATCCTTATTCACCGGAGATCTATAAGGCCCTATTACGGTTATGTAACTTTCCATCAAGGTGGATATCCAGATCTTCGTCACTTTCTGTCGAACAGAGTAGTCTCTGTATGGGCTCTCTAGGTTGCGCCGTTAAAGCACTTCAAGCTCTGCTGTGTCATCATAAGTACAAACGATTCAAATACATCACCGATCGAATTCCTGGCTTCTTCACTACTATTTCCACACTTTCGCATGTGGGTGAAATGAGAGCCCACCTTGCTCACCCCGATCTCGTTTACGAACTCCACGATTTTGATCGACCTGCAAAATCCAAAAAACCCAAGAAGAGACCAGCTCACAAACCAGCTTAGTGCTGTTCAACTCTCTTTCCTTTTTATTATCCTGTTCCCTCATCTTTATATTTCTTTGTAAATAAATTTAAATTTTGCAAGCGCTATGCTTGGGTTATCTTCTGTTGATAATTTTCGATTGACCGTTTCCTTAAATCATTTCTCCCTGATTTTTAGATGAATTCGTATGCCCACGTGCCCTCATGCTCTTCTCTAAGTGATGCAAAGCGTCGAAACTTGGCTCATCGCCTGTTCCAAATTGGTGCACTCAATTTTAGCGGGGTTCAACTTAAGACTGGTGAGGTTACCCCTGTGTACTTTGATATTCGACTTACAATGTCTGATCCTCTACTACTGGTGAGTCCTTGAGACTAGCAGTTGATAATTTAGAGAGTTGTCCATTCATAAAGAATAAAAAACAACAAGCTTGGACTAATAATTTTATTAATGATTTATAGCAAGAAATAACCGAATCCATGTATGAGATGGTTTGTGATCGCACGTCCCATCATAAATTCGACCTCGTCACTGGTGTCCCCGCAGCTGCTGTTGCTTTGGCCACAGTAAGTTGACGTGTATTTATTTATCCCTCCCCCCCCCTCTCCTCCCCCTCTCCCCCCCTCTCTCTCTTTCTCCCTATTCCCGTTTTAAATTGTGAGCCACTTGCAAATTTAAATTGGAATTTTTAGACTGTTGGGAGAATAGGAAGTGAGAATGCGTTTTTTTTCTAATTTATTATTCCCATTTATAACTGAATGGAGAGCGCGTTATTTTATTTGAATGTTTGGCAGCTACTGCAAAAAGAAATTGGTTTTTAGCGACGGGGGGGGGTGGGGGGTGTGGATAGGAAGATTCGGTCAGTTGGGCCCTTTGTCAATGTTGAGAATATCATTCGGATATGTGGTGTACCTACCATTCATGACTTAGCAAAAATCCTGGTGATACTTCAAGACCATACAGTTGGCAGCTTACACCTCACCTCAATATAAATTTGTCTGGAGGTGGGGATTTACGCTATTGGGAAGGTACTGACGATGTATGCTGTTTTTTTGAGCATGACGAACCGGTCAAACAAAAAGTCTCCATCGTTGTCCTTCTTATTTATCCTTGGAATGTGACGATTTAATAGAAGGCTTGGAAGTCGTCTTCGTTCCATCTATATTAGTTAACTTTTGTATCTGTTTCCTTTTTTTCCAGAGCGTTTCCATTCAACAGAATCTCCCAATGATTCTTACCCGTAAGGCCGTTAAGGACCACGGAACCAAGAAGCTGATTGAAGGTGTTTGGACTCCCGGTCAAGAAGTCCTTATAGTTGAGGATGTTGTCACTTATGGTGATAGCATCTCCGAAACAGTCGAGGTTTGTTCCGTCTACTTATTATTTTTTAAGTAGTTATGATGGCCTAACTTTCTTTTTTTCCTCCAGCTTCTGCGATCTATGGGCTTAGTTGTGCGCCATGCCCTCGTAGTTGTTGAGAGACAACAGGGTGCCACACAAAATCTTCTCCATAATTACAATGTCAATCTTCACGCGTATGTCTTTTTTATATGTGGTAATAGGAGTTGTCTATTTATTGAGAATAGGTGAATTGATGAACTTTCTCAATTGAGAGCACCAAGTATTTCATGGGACCATGCGTATATTAGACCATCGCAAAAGAATGAGATAGAAAAGGGCAATTTGGAATCGGGGAGGTCAGGGGGGGGGCAAGTGGGACCTAGGTGGTGGTAAAGAATGCGAATTAAGGTACACTGTAATATTTATTTATTTCAAAAGGCAGGCGTTTTGATAGTTATCATTAGCCCTTTAGTTGACTGCAGGCTCCACAGAGGGGAAGGAACATCAAAGTGAAAAAAGTCGAGAGGGGGGAGGGACAGAAGAGCGTTTCAAAGATGCAAAAGAGACAGACACAAAGATAGAAAAAAGGTGAGGTGAGTGCTGCGAAATGATCGAATATGACATGGAGTCAGCTCATGGTAGTTGGAAGTCAGAAGTCAACTGCCTGTTAATAAACCTTTTTGCCGTATGAGTATACGTTGCCCAGGGTGCACCACGTGGAGGTAGGTCTATCGCACACCCCAAACTGTAATATCGATTACTGAATTTGGGTTCTATGCTTGTGAGATGAGCAACGGATAATAATTATTTGGCAATTAAACTAGTGCATTATTATGAGTCGACATGGGTAAGTGCCACAAAACATACACTTTATAACTTAGGTTGAGTGTGTGTTGTTCATTGAATACCTCCAAATACAAATATTAACTACTTTGATTGCTGTTAAGGAAACTAGTTCTGCTTATTAAATATCGCATCATAAACAGATTCAGACAGGTCAGTAGATCGAAGAGCTATTCGAAATATCTCACGAATCATTAACCTTCTCGAAATATTCATTATTTACATCAGTAGGTTCTTTTATTACTTTCGTTGAGTTTCAATAAGTACCTCCTTCTTCTAGACTTCTTACCTTTGACGACATTCTCAATATCCTTAACACCGATGGATTGGTATCTTCAGAGCGAGTTGAAGTGGCAAGGAGCTTTATTGCTAGTGCTCAATTCAGTCTGCGGCTCAAACAACTCACCGATACCTTTCCTCCTATTTCACGCAATCTACTAGGCCTCAAGTCAGTCAATAAATGTCTTTCAATCGATGTTCCAATGAGTTCGCATAAAATTCTTGAAATTGCTAAAAAGGAGGGAGGGTCAATTGATGCACTCGAGATCACACCTCAACTCGTACAATATGATTCGGAAAATTTCATCTCAGAACTTGTTCGGCTTGCTGAGTTACATGCTTTCCTTCTTATTGCCAACTGGTAAGTGGAAAACTCGCCAGGAGCTGTGTGAGATAATTGCTGTAGGAATAATAAATCCATTGGAAAAGATTAGACTCTAGGTTTTTCGGTTCCCCTCTTACGCGTAACCTAATGTCTACTTCTCTCTTGCTTGGAAGAATTGACTTGTGGAGTTTTCTATTCATTTCTTCCTTTTACGTTTTAATGAATGTTGATCTCATGACCCCTGACTTTGACGTTGCAGATTCGATGTCCTAGTGAGCAGAATGGGGCCAGCCGCATTTGTTAAGTTTGGCAAAATTCGATTTTCTCACCAGAAGGCTCCATGGAGCTAGTCCACTCAAAATGAATGCAGTAAAACACATTTTTGGTCGTTATTGGGTAATCCTGAAGTGCTATTTCTTAGCTCAATAGAAGTCAACACAAAAAAAAACGAGTTTAACTGGAAGTGAAATGGATTATCTAAATATGGACCATTAGGGTGTAATTTTATAGGAGTCTGCAACTTAACATAAGATGTAGCTACTGGTTGGGCATAGTAGTCCGATACAGGGATGGGTTAACTTACTATGGAGGCGGTAGAGAGAGCGGTTGACTTCTTCGAGTGGAAATGAATTCTTTGACGGCAAGGCATCCGAAATGGACATAGAGTTATGACGAAATGTAGATTTCTTGCGGTAGCGACTTCGATTTCCTTAATGCAATCGGGAAGTTTATTCAATCATAATCTTGTAATTTCACAATTCCTTTTAGCAAACTATTAGGGGACGAGTCCTCCGCACGCGCAGCATTGGATGAAAGAAGTTATCTCTCACCATGCAAATGGGCTGATATTGTTACAGTGTGCCCTCTTTCACCGCCAGAAATATTCAATGCTTTCCGTCTTCTGAGGAAGAGTTCTTCCCTTAGAAGCCACCTCTCCGTTCTGCTGATCGCTGATTTCGGCCTCGAGGAAAAATGCATTGAAATGGCTGCAAAGAATCCCGATGTTGTGCTGGGATTCGTGTCTTTGAAACCCCTCTGCGGTCTTGCCACTACTAACGGCGAGTATTCGTCGCCTTCTGTGATCTACCAAGTCCCTGATGTTCACTGTCCATTGGAGAAAAACGGACACATCGTCAATGACGATCATCCTACTACCAAAGACAAGTTCAATGATCCCTCTATTGGGCTTCTTCGCACTGTTTACTTCTCCTCTATGAATGGTTTATAATGCACACACACACACACACACGCCATGGAAGTGAAGTCATCTAAGTCATTCCCATTACTCCCGCTCCCCCCCCCCACCCCTCTTTACTCACAAATCATACTTGGAATTGGTGCAAACATTTCGTCGATCTCTAATGTAAGTGTAGCCTGATAACGTTCCTCCTCTTTTTGGATGTATCTAAAAAATAATTGAATGAATAAAGTGCATTATGATGATTAATTTTGCTTGTCAGGAGTTAAGAGAAGCGGTGGGTTCCTTAAATTGAATTTCTCCCCATCTACCACTTTGAATGTCAGTATTTGTGTGATAATAGTCCACGCTTTTGCCAATCTCAGCTTTTAAATCTAGAATCTGGCAACAAAAAGTTTGACAAATTAATGAGTTTCGTTTCATTTGAAATACGTAGATGGTTTCCTTCCGTTAAGTACGTTATTTTCTCTATATGTGAGAGTGCTGAGGTCCAATGTCTACTGAAAATGGGTTTCACTTGTGAAGTCAATTCAAAGTAATGCCAACTTCTTGAACAAGCATTAAATTGAAATGGTCCTTCCCTCAGCATTTCCAAGGACTGGATGAATTTGTGTCCTCTTTCTCTGGCTCTCGTTTCTGCGGTCAAAATATTTCCCCTCGAAGGGGCAATGGCATTAAACATTTTTTGTTCTCAATTATTATGCATAAAATTCTTTTGCTTTATCATGGGTAGCAAATGGTTAGTAACTCAAAGGTCAAGTCTTTTTGGATGAAATTTGGGAGTGGTCCGTGAGATCGCAATCCAAGGAATGGCCTCGACGTTTTCTAAGAGTGTTTCAAGTTCACTATTGTCGGGGTCACCTTTCGTACTAGAAGATTTCCAAATAATCTTCACCCCCCCTCCCCCTCCTTTCCCTCTTCCGCGCACTTCTCTATAAACAAATAGCAAGACTATTTATTTATTTATTTATAACAAATGGCAGACGTTTTGATAGTTATCATTAGCCCTTTAGTTGACTTCAGGCTTCACAGAGAGGAGGAGGAGGAACATCAAAGAAACAAAAAGTCGAGAAGGGGAACAGAAGAGTGATTCACAGTTGTAAAAGAGACAGACAAACACAAAGGTATAAAAAGGTAAGATGAGTACTGTGTAAGGGGTCGAATATGGCATTCAGTCGGGCCATAGTAGTTTGAAGTCAGAAGTCAACTGCCGACCAATAGACTTTTTTGCCGTATAAGTATACGTTGCCCAGGGTGCACCTTGTGGAGGTAAGTCTATTGCGCACCCCACAAATATCAAGACTAGCATCTTGGAATTGTACGTTTGTAATTCTCAAACGCATTCTGAAAAACCTGGTTTATTTAACTTCCTTAGTAGTTGGGATTAATTGACGTTGGGTATTTTACTTTGGTCAATGGGGCTCATCTGTGGAGTGCGTTGATTGTGAAAAGTGGTCTTCACTCCTTTGGGGTTATGCGCAGTAGAATGAAGACTAGGAATCATAATTGCCAAACAAAGGAGGTATTTGATTCGGTAATGAGAAGAATTGAATGAGAAATGACAGAGACAGACACTGTGGCCAGCAGATTAAGCATTTTGTGCATTTCGGAGAGAGGAATTGGCTAGAGAAGTAGCGAAGAGAGAAACCGGTTGGATGCAGGAGTCGGGGTTAAGGTAATTGTCTCTACCGTGTTGACAAAGCCGGTACAAGCTGGGCTTCATATGAAGTGAATTTTTTTGCTAATGGAGGATTCAACTCCCTATACCATTTACTTCCAGGTGTCTAGTTGGAAATTCTCTTTATATATTAATTAATTTGGGGTGTGCGATAGACTTACCTCCACGTGGTGCA